AAACATGGACAGTTTCCTATCTACATCCTGTTCCACAATAGAGTTCACTTACAAATTATGATGCCCTGTAACTACTGAACATACTGCCAGAATTCCATCTTAAAGTACCTACTTCGATGCTTCAAATGAATACACTTAGGAAAACTTTCTCCTTCTGATATAAGAACTGCAAGAAGAGACCTTGATATTGGTAGCTCATGAAAACAGTTTTCTGTAACTTGGAAGATGACACATGCTTTTTATTCGTTGCATTGCAGCTTATGGACAAACACAGTGGAACTGGAAGTATTCCCTTACATTTTCCATTTTGATCTTACAAAAAATTAGTTATGGCTATGTCCCCTTTTCTGGTACTTAATAATAATTAAATTATCTTGAACTCGACTGGGTTGTTAGCTGATAAAACACAGTCATGTTCCTAAAATCTACTCCACAGACATTTAATGACATCAGGTATGACATCAGAGCTTGCTACCATAAGCTCCCTTACATGTCTCTCAAATAATCCTCTATCTGCTCAAAAGACCACTGCAGTTATAATCCTTCTAAACAAAACAAATCTATCTTTGACTTACATCAAAAGATTGGGACTGGTCTACTTTCAATTCCCGAGGCTTAAACTTAATTACAAAAATACCCTTTCTCACAAAAATGTTTACATACACTGGAAAAAAAGATATCTTTTAAGTTAAAAAAGTTCTGTAGTCCCAAAGAAGGCAAAAGCTGGACCCTAGAAGGCAGGCTTTGAAGACATTGGGGGAGAAAATTCCCTTTTGTTTGTGTTGTCCTGGGGCTACACACTATCTGTGTTTACCAAGCACAGCTATACCAGTGTAAAAAGGAAAGCAAAATGGCACAAACACATGAAAGCAAGAAAACGTTTCTAGAACACTGGTAACCCCTGAGTATTTTAGATACAGCAACTCCTATTTTAGGAGGAAAAGAGAGAGTTATCATCACAGATATTGAAGAGCTTTTGCATAATGGCTGGGGGTTTAGATAAGGGAAGAGTCCTGTCAGTTGAACTTTACTACAGTTACATTACTTTCAGTGTTGACGCGCTTTTTCTAAAGGAAAGCTGTTCTTTTTTGGTTTAAATGAGAAATTACTCCAAGCAACATAAAGAAAGATAAAAGGTTTCTGTTCTTCAACGTCAGGGTCATTTACATAGCGATTTACACTAGTAATTAGTCTATTCTGCTAGGGTACTGCAGTAATACACATTACCTAGATACAGAAAGATTAATAAGTATTCCACTTTCTGTAAGTATAAGGCAGTGTGTTTTCAGTGTTATAAAAATTTTAAAGTGTACTTAGCACTGAAATGACTTAGAAGCAGAGGGGGTTTTAGGCCAGTAAAAGAATCTTAGTGCCATAATAGGTTTTATCTAATAGAGATTTTCCTTTTTAGATGTGCTAAACACCAAATACAGGAATTGCCATGCTGAAAGGGAAATAATTGACTATGTTAAGCTGAATTAATGTTGTTTACTAAAAATTAGGAAAAGCATGTGAAAGTGAATGGATTGGGTTTTATACTGCTCAAACCTATCTATACAGAGAGCTTCTATTTAATTTAGGAGACAACTGAAAAATAGGTACTGCCTGTAATTTATTGTTATTATCAGCATTGACAAACAAAACTTAACCATAGGGCACATAGATAACTTAAAAAAAATGTAAACATTTTTTTACAAAGAATTTATAGCCCAGTTCAAACAGACAGCATTGTTAACTTTCACATAACACCTATGGGGTGACACTGTAAAGCTGAAGAAATAAAATCTTGCAAGTGAATCATATAAGTGCTGTAGACGGGACTATGCTTCAGGTAGGGAAGGGAAAAGAATTGCCAGATAACTGATGTAGTTTGTTGTATAAGGATTTAAATGGAAGATGGGCAGAAAGAGATATGGAGTCAGTTAAGGAGAAATCTTGAAACAAGTAGTAGCATTATGACCTTCCATGGTATATAAATGAAGTGGAATTACTCTGTGTATCCCTGAATGCGAGAGGAACCTGAAACTGAAAGTAGCAAGTACTAGAAAAAGGGCTGCAAATTGGAAGTGACAGTTGAGAAAGAGTTAAAAAAAAAAAAAAAAGAATGAAGGTAGACTGATATGGCAGAAGTTGAGATGGATGAGGCAAAAGATACAGAGAATTATTATAATGATGATGCTTAAGAAAGAAGCTTCTAGAAGTACTGTAAACAGAACAGAAGGAATGAAAACATTTTCACAAAAAAAAAGGAAAGACTAGACCAGCACTGACAACTGCATGGAGGTTGAGCACATGAACGATGTGTGGATCACGGAACAGTGAACAGTAACAGAAAAGGAAGGATATGAGAAATCTGGGGAAAAGCACAGGATTTTTTTCCAAGTTGAACTTGAGGTTTCTTAAGAGACAGTAGTCTGAAAGAAAGTACACTATATCTGACTATCTTCAGAAGAGCAGCTGAAACAGAAGAAATGGATAAGGTTGCTCAGTGAGAATATGAAGAAGAAAAGTGGGAGAATCATAAATAAGTGTAGGAGCTCTCATGAAAAAAAGCAGTGGCTGAGGTACTGAAAATTTGAGAAACACAGGAAAAGTAAAGAAGGGAGTGACCTTTCCATTAAAGAAACAGTAGCTTAACTGAATGGGTATTCTCTTTGAAAAGATGTATCTAGGTCTCTCAGTTAATAAGATACTTGGATATTTCAAGGGTATTAGTAACATCAGGAAGGGAATGGAAGCTGTTGTCATGCTTATGGTGGATTTGCTTTTTAATTTAAAAAGCATAGAAAAGCCAAGTTGATGCAGACCTTTAAGTAAATAGATTGAGAAATCTGAGTTTCTGAAGAAACATGGTACTGAGAGGAGGTTACTTGTTTTGAAGAAAAAATAATAAAACTAACAAAATCTTTTGCTCTGGTCTCCTACTCTGGCAATGAAAGCACCAGAAAATTGATTGGGTCTTCATCTCTGTAGGCTGATAAAAGCATAACCCTATTGTCTGGAACAATATGGAAGGCAGCTAGAGGAAATAAAATCCACAGAAAACAAAACACAGTCAAAAAATATACATATGCATCAAGATATTGATGTTTTATGCAATAATTACAATGAAATATTAAAACATAGAAAAGAGTCACATGTGAAAACTAGTAAGATTTTGCTATTCAACAGCATAGTGTTCTGACAGAAATTGCCTAAGAAACACTGGGGAGCGTTGACAACGCTTTAGTAAATCCTTAATTGCCTTCACATACATTTCAGTCCTGATAGCATTTTTATTTGATTGTTTTGTCAAGCATGGAAGAATTACGACAAAGATCGTATTAAGGTGGAAAATTCTTTGCTTTTTTCAATTCTGCTTTGATCAAATCAGTGTAAGCTCCTACTGAGTAACATTTAGAGGGATTTAATAGTCAGTATATGTATGCACTACGTTAGACATTACAAGCAATTTAGCTTAACTGTGTGCATTTCTAATGTTAGCAAGTCTTTAGTGAAAGATTATTTTTGAGTTCTTGTTTTGCAGGCCAGTCTGTGTGAGAATAACAGAACTCTGCAATAAAACATGCATAATGTAACTTCAAAGGAAAACTTCTTACCTCCAGCAACTAGCCCGGACTCTCCTAACTGAATTGCTACCCCGAAGCCACCAAGCTTCACTGGGGCTGAATTCTCTTTTGAGGCAAGCAGTACACAGTGTGGCTGAAAAGACAAAAACCCAGAAAAATTATCTAAAATTGGCATTTTAGAACTTGATTTCATAAATTTGCAAACAGAAGCTAGTTTTTATTTATTTATTTATTTCAGGTAACTTTTTCCCCTGGCATGGTCTCATCTTTCTTCACTGGCTTCCCTTTCAATTGTCCCAGGCACAGCAATATTCTTTCAGGACTTACCAGAATTCACAAGGAACACAAAGTGAAATCATAATAAAATGGAGGTAAAAATTAACACCTGTAATTTCTTTTTACTTTTCATCCTTAAGCTTTTAAGGGGTCGAGTGGGGGGGGGCTGGGAAGGGGAATTGTTTAGGCTTCTAAACTGATTACAGGCACAGGCATCTTTGATTTTCCACTGTCTTTCCACTAGTGAGGTGTAACATATAAAAATGGAATAATATTGCACAACAACTTGGATGGATACTGAGTGCTGTAGGATGAAGCAACATATAGTTCGAACACAGTTTAATATATAATACACATAGCCAAACTACTGCATTTGTTACAGAATGACTTCCTGCCTCATTTTGCAGTCAACCACTATTTAAAAGGGAGAATGTCAAATGTGTATACTGCTTCTTGAGAATACATTACTGCTTAAATTACAAACCTTGCACCTCAAAATAGTGCAAAAGAGCTACAACAAGCTCAATCTGACTACTTAATATCATTATCTGCTTTCATCTGTTTTCCTCTAAAAAGCTTCAGTTATACAAGGCAATCACCTTCAAGTAAGAATGTACAGAGCCTGTTTACAAGTATAACTGAAATGTGCAGAATCCCATAAAAGCTTCATTCCTAAACAGATGATATAGTAATAAAATTAACATGGAAATTATCATTTCAAATACTAAGAAGAATACTAAGTCAAGACAATGTTCTTGAGATGATCATTAAATTTAGGCTACCATATATCAGGATTTCTACAATCCATTTCTAAATTTGCAATTTATAAATGTAACTTTCAATGCCTTTCACCCTATTTAAAATAATACTACCAGATGGTATTATCTCAGCACACTGTATCCCCCTTCTGCCTTGTTGAAATTCTTAAGCCACACCACTTAGGGCACTTTCACAATCTCTCATCACTGCCATTCTGAGTGGAAAAAAGATCAACCTCAAACTTCTAACCCCAGGCAAGAAGTAGGTAGATGGAACAACTACACCAACATAAGCAAAATGTACCATTTTACTGTGGTGATTTATCTTTAATCAACTTCCATGACAATATTAAAAAGATGAGAGAATGCACCAACATAACTGTCACCCAAAAAGGAAGCCACTGACACTGCTCACCAGAAACAAAATTTCTGAGAAAAAAATAAAATAAAAAAATCCAAATCTCCAACTCAAGAGAAATTTTATTATAGAATGTCTCCCAGCAAACCCCAAATTAACAGCAAAACTGATCTTTTCAATAAACTGAGTTTTGCTAGTTAAAACACATTTAAAAAAAACCCAGTTGCAACACTAGTTAAACTTCCCCTTGTTGCTAATTGTACTATGTCAGCTGATTCTTATCACTTTCATAGAGAAGCTGGTGATTTAGCTTTCTAATAAGAGGACTTGCATGTTACTCCTCCCTGTCTTCACTAGGGGTTTTGAAAATCAGCAGAAGTTCTTAATATATAAATGGTAAGTGTCTTCTTTTATACTTTACCCATATTAAACCAGATTTCTATTAAATGTCATTTAACTGCAAAAGTACTATTGACCTTCAAACTTTTTCTTAAATACACCTAGGGTTAAGCATGCCTGTTTGCTTCCAGGCGACAAAACTTATGGTAGTGAAAAGTTATATTTCTAATGCATGTGCAATGTAATAGATTTTTCACTCTCATTGACCTAAAACTTGTCAATACTTTGCAAGTTATGGTATCAATCATTTTTACAGAAAAGGATCATAACAAGAAATTCTAGCAGTAGATAGGTTTCAAGATGTATTTGAAAGCATCACATTTTTTTAATGAAACTTTCAAAATTACATCTTGCCTGGACAATATGAAAACAGGAATATTTTTTAAACTGCTAGCATATTGTACAAATTTAATACATTTGTGAGGTCAACCTACATAGCACATTTAAAATATTTTAGTCTGTCCTCTCAATCATACAGATTCTGTATGTGCATTAATTCTTACTGAGATTTTTATCTAAAGTGCTGCCATTTTCACTGCTGTAGCCATGTCACACATTTAAATGTAAATTAGCATTTTTTAGACATAGCATGCAAATGAAAAGCTATTTTAACACCAATTCTATAGTTTTTGTGGGATTAGGAGAAAAAAGCTTGCTACTTAAAAATGAAAAAATTCAAAGCAAACTTATTTATGAAACCTTTTATCACTATGAAATACAAACTGAGGACAAAGTATCATTACTAATCAGTTAACCATCTCTCTAAACAGCTAGTTCTGATCTCTTAACCACACACTTTTTTGTTTTTCCTTCTTTGGTCAAAACTGATTTTAACTTCTACATTGTACCTTCCTGGTCAAAAGTAAGCTTAGTGAAATTTAAAACTTTGAAATTAAAACAAAGGAAACAACGAAAACAAGGAAAATGTGAAAACAGTGTTACTGCATTAATGTGACTTCCAGCTAATACTAGTTTCTTTGCATAATATTCATTTGTGAACAGGTAAGGCAAAAATACTTAAATTTACATGAAGATATAAAGTATTGAAAACAAGCTCATAGTGTTACTTCTAACAGATGACATAGCTGAATAAATATTAATTTACAATTGCTTTTCTAATTGAAAACTGGTGACTTGTATGGGAGAGATCCTGGGCACTTATTTAAAATTAATACTGATGAGTTTAGAATTGTTTTGATATATTTCTAAGTACTTTGTATCAACACTGAGAATACTTCACTTAGTTATGCTTACCCATTCTTGCATCTTAATTAAAAAGTTTTCTGTGTTAGAAAGAGAAATCCTAACATCTGAACTTAAAATTACTTGTACTTATAGAAAAAACAAACAAAAAAAAAGTATAAAGTTTGCAGAAAACCATAATAGTTGATTTTGAAAACAATAACAAAGATATGAGTATTCTATAGCATCTGTTCTTGTGTACTTTTTGTGAACTAAAACAGGGAGCTGGTTATTCTAGACTTACACTGTATCATGATACCTATCTGAAAGTCCTTCTACTCAGCTACAATGATACTTCGGTGCATTTACTTGTTTTGGCAATTTCCTTTAATGTTTATATCACATAAGACTGTATGCAATAAAGCAAACAAACACATGAAAATGATCCAGTGGTGATTAATTCTTACAATTTCTCTTTGCACTCCTACAGAACAGCTAAAAAAATCCTCACAAATGATGGGTGCAGCTTCAGCTGATTTACTGACCATTATTCCATACAAGGAGGACTTTTGGAGTAACCTACCTAACCTGGCCATAAATGCCTCAGAAATTCAAAACAATGCCACTTGTTCCTTAGATGACAACTCACTGTCACTTGCTTTGATAGTTTTTTACTCTATTATTTTTGTCGTTGGATTGGTTGGAAATATTATAGCCCTGTTTGCTTTCCTGTGCATTCATCAGAAAAGGAATTCTATCCAAGTTTACTTGCTAAATGTAGCCATTGCAGACCTTCTGCTGATCTTCTGTCTTCCCTTCCGAATACTCTATCATGTTACCAAAAACACCTGGCTGTTTGGACTGATTTTATGCAAGATTGTAGGAACTCTATTTTATATGAACATGTACATTAGCATAGTACTGTTGGGACTAATCAGTCTAGATCGTTATGTAAAAATAAATAAGTCTGTGAAGCGCCCTAAAATGTTAACTACTAGACGAAGTATACATATCTGTTGTACGGTGTGGGCAATCGCACTAACAGGATTTACAATAGTAGTTGCACCATCTTTCTTTAAGAGTGAGAACAGCAATTCTACCATGTGCTTTCATTACCGAAATAAACACAATGCAAAGACAGAAGCAATTTTAAATTATGTTATTGTAATCATTTTTTGGATAGTTTTTTTCCTTTTGATACTTTCGTATGTTAAAATTGCTAAGAACCTCCTGAAAATTTCGAGGAAAAGAGCAAATTTTCCCAATGCTGGAAAATACACCCAGACAGCAAGGAACTCCTTCATTGTGCTCATTATTTTCACCATCTGTTTTGTTCCTTACCACATATTCCGGTTTGTCTACATTACATCACAGTTACAAAATCCATCTTGTCATTGGAAGGAAATCATTCACAAATGCAATGAGGTGATGCTCATATTCTCATCTTTTAACAGCTGCTTAGACCCAGTTATGTATTTCCTAATGTCCAGAAGTGTCCGTAAGACTGTATTCCAACTTATCTGCAGAAGACTTCATGGAGATTCAGGCCTAGCACTGGAAAGTACTTCAGAAATAAAACTTGGACAATATACACAAGAGCGATTTTCTACTACCACTCCCCACTCAAGTTCTTTAAAGAAGAAATCTCTGATTTGATTGTTTAAAGGAATGGATAATAACTTTTCTCTGTTGCTTCAGGATTTGTATCAATTCATCATCACATCAATTTAAGATTACCAAATGCTATACTGTACAGCTACTAATCCTGCCTCTTTCTTCCTGGTAAAAAAAAAACGAGAAGTCTTACTTCTGTTTGTGAAAATAAGAAGTTGCTTTTCAGAAGTACTTCACTCTTGTTTATCCAAGAAAACAAAATAGGAAGTTCTCAGACATCTTCTGTTGGACTAAACTAGAACACTAACTCTTTAAGGAAATTTCCATGAAGTGGATTGAACACGTATAAAGAATCTTGTATATAGACATTAATATAACAAACTTCTGTATGTAAATAATGAATTTTGTAAAAAATAATGTGTCCTATTCAAAAGAGCTATATAAATCATTACAGATTTTATGTACTTCTCTGTTTTAATAGGTTTCAAATACATCAGCTTTTTAACTACATTTATAGAAGTATTTTTTCCAAGAAAATATTTGACAGCTCAGTAACACACATGGTTTGAAAATGAGGAAGAATATAACTGACATTAATTCAGTTATAATTACAGAAGATACACTTAATTTTATTAAATAGCAAGCATTTTATCCCAAGAACAACTTAAAGGCTAGAAAGGTGAACCAATTAAATACTAAGTGTTAAGCTCCATAAAATAAGGATTTATTATCCTGAACACATACAAGCAGTGTTGCTCAAGTAAGCTGATGTAAAGAAGTCAGTTTTAATATTACTACCAGTAACTTCTCTGACGGATCATGTCACTTTTTATGCCAAACCTCTGACAAAATTTGTGGATTTTTACTAATTCTGTACAATATTCTGGTTTTACAAAAGTTACTCATAAAACTCACACTGAGCAAAGTAAACATAACACTTCTGCTATATAAACTTGGCTTAATTTTCATGTGATTTTACTTCATTCAGTTTTGGTGAAATTGGGTATAAACATGTGAAACGAATTACAATGACCAGCCAGTGGGGTTTTTTTTGTTGGTTTTTTAAACAAAAAAAGGGTAGGATTTCTTAATGTTCAAGAGAGAGATGCCTATGAGCATGTACTTTTTATATAAGTACAATGGTAACTGGATTTTTTTTGGCAAGTAAGATATTTGTACGATGATTTCTGATTGATTCTCACAATAATTGCATTGTATTTTTTTCATGATCTTTATCATCTTATCATCTTTTTTCATGTATGCTGAAGAACTGTTTTGGCTCTGTAATTGTAAAGTGCATGGAATAGCATGTTGCTCATCCTTTGCAATTCTGCTATGCAGTATAGTAGTTCTACATAGTTACATCAACTCTGGGAAATCTAGTGGAGCTTATAAACCATCATTTCACAAGATATATACATTAGCTTGTCATTCTTTCCTTGCCTGTATTTTTTCTACTATAAGTAGTTGATTAATGACACTGATCACCAGGGTGGGAACATGGGAGAGGATGGACACAAACATCTCAGTGCAGCTTTAACAAAATTTGAATTCTAAAATTCTTTTGAAGGAAGTGTTCTGTTAAAACCAGAGCTTTCATTTATAAAAAATGCAATTCCTGAACACTACATGGTTGCAAAAATAGACTAAGAGCTCTTCAGAAGATCAACAGTACAGGGCTTCAATGAAACAAATGAGACTTTTAGAGCCAAAGGCAAATAGGAATATGTTCCACAGGACAAAAAAGAAGACCTTAGTATTCTGGGCATACTTTTGTAAAATATGTAATGCTTATTCGGTTACTATAATACTATTTTGGAAGCAACTAAATACATAAAAAGACAACAGGAAAATAGTCATGCAGTACAAGTTCAAGATTCTGGTCCATCATCTGAATAGTATTATGTGGGCTGTTTTGTTTTTAATGATTTTAACAGTGTAATCTAGTTAGCATGTTCTTATTTGTATTGATCAGATGTGTTCTGCATGACAGCTGTTCTCTACAGATTGTAGAGAAGGAGCACCAAGGAAGCTATACACAGTCTCAATGGACAAGGTTTCAGAAAAAAAACAAGGTTTTAGAAGAAATACTGAAAAGTTACACTTTCCCAGGACTACACAATAATGATATACACTAAACACTTCAATAGAGAATCATCTTTTGCTTAAATCAGCCTCTGTGTATAAGCAGCAAATATGACCCAAATTTTACAAAGACATTTCAGGAGCTAGTAGCTTGTGTTAGGCAAATTCATAGCACCTATAAAGACAAATAAAATTAGGCAAGCTTCTATGTATAAGGTACCCTAGGCAAAAGCAAGTAGATTTGTTTGAGGGAAGCCACATCCTAGAAAAATCAGTAACAGAGTAGCTCTGTGGAAAAGCTGAGAAACACTGAGGTAAAGGTGATATGGTGTAACTGAACTTCAGCAAAGTCGTTTAATGAAGGCTCTAAAAAATGCTAAGATGTTAGATGTTAATTCTTGTTTTAGAAATGGTTAAAAATTGGAAAGAAAGCTTAGAAATACATAGTCAGTTTTCTTCATTATATTCCCAGAGAACCTGCAAATAGATATGTTTACGAACACATTTAATACTATGATCTGGAATGAGTGAGAGTAAGGAGATGACAAAGTTTTCAAACAACACACAATTATTCAGGGTGGTCAAGCCTAAAAAAATTTCAAGATATAACTCTGCTCAACAGCAATGAAAGAGCAAAGAGACTGTCAAAATTAGGAGGAAAAACCTGAGAAGTCATAATTGTGATAGTAATTTATATGACACAAATTCTATACAGACTACATTAAATAAATCAACTCTTCACCCCAGAAATGAAAATCTGAACGGGAACACAATTGTGTAACAGCAGGTATGGCACAGAAGAGGGGAACTGGTATGACTGTACTATCTTTATCAGAGTATAACATTAATGGAGTAGCAGTTAGAACAAAAAAACAACCTTAAAAAGCAACCAGACAAGTGAAAATACTGATGAATTTCCACCGCTATGTAAATCACTGCTTCAAGATGTTAAAAGTCATATATATCAACTGGCTTAGAAAGGGATCTGAAACCAGACAGCATGGTCATATAGGAAACATCTTCCCTCTCTCCCCCAGTTTATTAAACTCTATCTCAAACTATGGATTTTCTTACTTTTACCTTACCAATTCTCTCCCCAGCCCACTGTTATGGGAGTAAACAAGCAGCTGTGTGGGGCTTCGCTGCCGGCTGGGATTAAACTACAACAACCCATTTTGCACCTAACATGGGGCTCAAAGGGCTCACGATAACGACAGATTTGACCACAGTACGTACAAGGGAGCTGGAGAGAGCATCAGAAGCAGCAGCCTGTTCTGCAGCAGAGCAGCCACAAGAACAGGAAGGGGAGAGACAGAAATGATAAACAGGTTTTCACACTTTTACCCTTCTGATTCTCCTCCCACTGAGGGGGACTGAGTGAGTGGCTGAAGGGCTTACCTGCCTACCAGGGTTAAACCACAACACCACCTTTTATTTTCACACTGAAATTAACTGTAATTATGGCTTTAACTTGAAGATTAACATTTTTCATGGGGGCAAAACAGCTTTTGTTTTGTTTTTTTGTTTGTTTTTTTTTGATAACATAAGAAAATTTAGTTGAACAATTTCCCTCACAACATCAGTCAATGAAACCACAAAAGAGGAGTGCAACTTACATCAGTGGTAAACAAGTGAGAGTCGTATTAGACCTGGAGATAGAAAGCTCCCATATGGATGCTTTAATTTAATGTTCTCTCTGAAACCACATACAGATCAGGGTGGAGAGGAGGGAGTTGTGCTGCACAATACAAAAGAAGCGTATGGAGAAAAAGAACCCACTGATAATGCTTTACCAATCAAAATATATTTTCAACGTAATCTCTGTAGCACTGGGAACCCTCTGCCACCCTTTTTTCCATCCCTTAAGCAAAATCCCAGCTGTCAAATCCAAGAGAAAGGAGAAGGTGCTACAAAGCTGTTGCCATTCACTGCCTGTAGAGTGAATCAGTAGGAAAAATCCTCGCACCGCAAGTTGCTTTTACTGCCACATTTTAGCTTTTTAGTTTTGCTTTATTACTTTTGCATTTTCACAAAGGCTTAAGAACCTGGAAAAGCCAAAAAGCTGTTACACACAAACATATTTAACTTGGAAAAACACAAATGATAGAATGGTGCTGAAAAACAGAGAAAGCTTCCTATTTGGCTATGATGACCAACAGAGTTTTTACATTAAAAACCTATTTCTGAAATTAAAAGTGAAATACACCATGACCAATACACAGCCACTGCTTTTTTAGAAGCAAATACCAGAGACCTCTGGGGGCTGTAAAATGAAAGTCACTGGGGAAAAAATACAAGAATGAATATGTTGGAAGATTATTTTTGTTAGTACTGTCAACTTGAAGTTAAATTTTCCTGCCTAAAAGACATTGTTTGGTTTGTGTTTTGCCCATGTAAAACAACTACCCGGAGCCTGTGAAACACTTAACTTTGCGTATTTTATGACAACCAAAGAACTGAAGCTATGATTATAACATATCCCCATTCCTACATCCCTAAGGATGTCACAGTTACACCGCATATGCTTGTAATTCATCAAATAACATTAAGAACTTTCATTCTGGGAATAGTTTGCTGAATCTAAACTGGTGAAAATAAATCATTAGTGAACAGCAAGCACAGAGTCAGCTCAAACTGGCTGAACATTTTATCTTCACTGATTCAGCATAGAGTCAACAAGAGTAGATTTAAACATGATGTTAGATGATTTTGCTTTGATAATTACTTCTTACAATATGCAACACAGAGTGACTAGAGCTAAAATCCTCGTTATATCAAGTCAGAAGAGCTGCCTACACACTGGGTCACGCCTACATGGAAAGCTGATGAGCAGGCAGAGAAGAGCCATGGCACTCTGCAGTAACTCTCCCCATAGAGAAGGCCAACTGAAAACAGTTATTTTGTAGTACATCTGCCTTAGAATTTATGCAGTGAATAAACCTTCCAATTGTAATGTTTAAATCCACAACAAAACTAAGCACCAAAGCTCTAGGCAAGCTACTTGGTAAATTATTTTTTTTTTAATAAAATATGGATTGCACTTGTGTAGTAGCCAGCGCATCTTAAAGACTTCTCTTAGTATTAAATGCCATACAGTAGTTCAAATTCCAAGTATATGAAATTAAATCTCAAATTAAAGGCTGCTGCATGTTTGGTGAATGCTATACCAATGCTATACCTTTGCTCAGTATGATTCATCCTCAGTGTCCATAGAGTAGCCATGCCCGGGGTCGCACACTTTTATGTGCCCTACCCACAGCAGTTGCCTTCCATCCTTCAAGATACAGAGACTGAGTGCATCACTTGGGTCTTCCACAGGTCTGCTAAGGGAGCCATAGGTAACCAAGCTGCTGCCTTCTTCCATTCTGTGAGAAGCAACTGGCGCCAACAGATTACATACTCTGTTGCACAACAGGAACAGTCCTGTTCTCCACTTGGTTTGTAACAGGCATAAGGAGATAAGGGATTGCTTGAGCTATGTTCTATCATCTCAAGCAGGCAGAGGGAACAGGAAGTGGCCAGGCAGCCTGCAAGTGGACTGCTCTGTCATATATGATTATATTACAATACATGCTAAGTACGGGTTATAGAAGGCTAGCTTAAATACCTTTCACCCCTCAGAATGTCCCTGGTTTTGTGGTTTCAGGCCACAAAATAAGTTGCCTTCATACACTGGCAAAATGCAACATATGCTGCCTACTGGCATATAAAATCTAGTAACATGTTTAACTCAGAAAGTGGCCAGTAGAGTACAGAAAATATAAACAACTGAGAAGAAGAATGCATGTGGAAGTCATTACGATGAACTTAAGAGTGAATTGTATGAAAGATGCACTCGTACCATTTGAATATCACCAAATATATTTTACATAAAATATGCCATTTATAACTTAGGTGAAAGGCAATAGTTCACCAAAAGAATAATGAAGGTGATCACTATAGCTTAGAACCAATATTTCTGAAGTTTTGTGTTTGGTTTTTTTTTAAAAAAAAAAAAAACAGTTATAATATCCCATTCCTTTTTTACTCATCTCACTAATCAGTTACAAAATGAAATGTGATAGACTGTAATTCGCTATAATAACCTATTATAATAGGATGATTCAGTGAAAAACGTAGCATCTCTTTCTACAGCAAGAGTTATGGTCACTGAATTATAAATACTACAGGCTACAGTTAATAACTAACAGAATAATAATAATAATGAAAAAAACCCTGTTAAATGCAATTGCTCACACTACTGTTCCTCTTAGCATGCCTCCTCTTAGCAAATGTTCAGGATATGCATGTCTGAACCTGGATGGAACACCACGATAACAAGGACTTC